GTGCACCGGGTGCACATTGAGCTGCACCAGAGCGTGCGTTGCTCTTGCAGGCGGGCCAACGGCACGGCGGACGAGAAGCCGCTCTCGGTGCCCCGCGACATCGACCTGCACCTCGACACCTGCCCCATCACCGCCGTGGATGCGCTCGGTGACGTCTCCCTCCTTCCCACTTCCACCCCAGAGCCCCCCTGGCCCCGGCAGCCCCCTGGGCCGCGGTGACGCCCCGTGTGCCCCGCAGTGCTGCGCTATTTCCTGGAGTACCAGTGGTTCGTTGACTTCGCCCTCTACGCCACCGTGGTCTATGGCATCACTGAAGGCTACTACTGCCTGGCCGACCCCCAGAAGGAGACCAACATCGGGGTGCTCTGGTGCCTACTGACGGTCGTCTTCTCTGTGTATCCTTCTGCTGACAGGAGGGCCCGGTTGCAGCCGCATGGCTGTGTCCCCGCGCCGGGGCGTCCCGTGGCCACTGCTTTCCTTGACGTCAGCCCTGCGCCCGCAGCAAGGTCTTCTTCACCGTGATGCGCCACTATTTCCGCTCTGAGGAGGGGGGCGAGCGCTCCGTCTGCCTCACCTTCGCCTTCTTCTTCCTCCTCCTCGCCATGGTGGCCCTGGTGGTGCGCGAGGACTACCTGGAGTTCGGCCTGGAGCCTGGTGGGTGACGGGCGGCGCCGGCCGCGGGGACCGCGGAGCGTCACCCGACTCACGGTGCTTGGCTCCCGCAGGGCTGGCCAGCGTCTGCAGCAGCCTCGAGAGCGCCCTGAGGCCACGGGGATGGGACTGGACGTAAGGCGGATGGGCCCGTGGCCGGGCGGGCGCTTCGGGGGGCTTTGCAGGCAGCCCTGCTCTGCGCCCTCTCTGCAGGCTCCCGCTGGCCAAGCTGGGCTTCAAGCTGGCGCTCGTGGCACTCTGCTCCTTCCTGGGCGCCTGCCTGACCTTCCCAGGGCTGCGCCTGGCCCAGACGCACCTCGACGCCCTGCACGACGCGGCCCACGAGCCCCTGGCACAGTTGGGTGGCACTGGAGGGGGCACCGGGGTGCCGGGGAGGGGGCTCCGGTCCCGGCTCCGTGGATGGATGGAGCCGGGTGCTGGGAAGGGGGCTCCGATCCTGGCTCCGTGGGATCGGATGGAGCCGGGTGCTGGGGAGGGGGCTCTGGTCCCGGCTCCGTGGGATCGGATGGAGCCGGGTGCTGGGGAGGGGAGTCTCTGACACTGCCCTGCAGGGTCCTGCTCCACGCCGGCTTCCTGGCACCCGTCATCATCGTCGTCATGTGGGTCAAGCCGCTGAGCCGTGACTTCGTGCTCCACGCGCCCATGGGCAAGCAGACGGTGCAGCTGTAAGTGGCCCCACGTGGCCATCCCCGCATCCGAGGGGCACCGGGGACTGTCCCGCGGTGCTCCGGGTGCTCCGGGTTCGGATCCTGTGCTCCGGCCTCGGCTCCCRCCTCACGGCCTCCTCCCGTGGCCGCAGCATGTCGGACGCCGCGTACGACACGGCGCGCCTCTGGACCGTGGTGGCCCTGTGCCTGCTGCGCGTGGCCCTCGCCCGCCGCCACCTGCAAGCCTACCTGGGGCTGGCGGCGCGCTGGGCCGCCCGCCTGCGGCACCAGGCCGGCCGCATCCCGGCGCTGGAGATCCAGCGCAAGGTGCGGGGTGCCGCGGGGCGGCACGCGGT